CACCGTGACTTGATTATTTGGGAGCTTTTTGGACCTTCCTTATTTGTCGCTACTGTTCAACTGAAGGTATATTGTTCTCCCTTATTTTATTCCTCTATTTATCTTAGAGTTATTTTTCTGTCACGGGTGCCCTAGTATTGTTGTTGATATGGCTACTACTGAAGGACTTGAGAACCCTACTGTTGACACCTCTACCGTTGAGACATCTATGGGTACTTCCACTTTTATGTTTGACCAGCATACAGTGCCTACTAGCACAGTTGCATTACCAGCATTACCGGGCATGATCTCTCAAAAAGTTACGGCACAATTGTTGAATGGTCGTAACTTCGCTGAGTGGTCACGCTCATTCCAGCTTTTCTTAGGCCGTGTAGGGAAGCTTGGTTGGCTGACGGGATCTCACCCAAAGCCAGCTAATGCCGACCCTGGATATTCTGCGTGGTTCTCTGAAAACTGTGCCATTCTTGGATGGGTATTTGGCTCAATGGAGCCCTCTGTTTGCAAGATCCACCAGTTTCATAGCTCTGTTCCGAAGCTATGGAGCGCATTATCAGAGATGTATTCTCAGTCAGGATGGGGAGTTCGTGTTTATGAGCTTTCTCAGGAGCTCTCATATGCTCGGCAGGGAGATATGACCGTTCAGGATTATTATGGCTATTTGACCCAGCGCTGGCTTGAGTATGAGTCTCTACGTCCTCTTGCTGCTATTCCGAAGATAGAGCCCGAGGGAGCAGCATTCTTGCATACTCGAGAGCAGGAGGATAGGATTCACAAGTTCCTTATGGGGCTTCGTGATGAGTTTGAGGGACCTCGTTCTCAGATCTTGTCGATGTTGACACTTCCTTCTCTTTATGAGGTGTATGAGATGATTGAGCAGCATGAGCGTCGAGTCCGTATTGCATCACTTCCAGTTGCAGCTTTGACTCCTTCGATTGACCAGATGGCCGTTGCAGCTGCTGTAGGGTCCCGTTCAGGATCCTTAGTCAGGGATGGGCAACGCTCAGACCAGCGCCGTTAGGGCGCCCCAGATCAGCGCAGACGGGGGGATTCCCGTCAATGTGATTATTGTGGCCGACCAGGACATCTCAGGGCTTCTTGCTGGAAGCTCCATCCAGAGCTTAAGCCACCTTCTCGCAGTCGTACTGTTGCTATTGCTGAGGTACCACCGGGCACTACCGCCATTCCTGCTACTGCTCCTCCTTGGCAAAGTGATATGGATGCTATCACTTCCCGATTAGATATACTTATGTCTGCTCTGACTTCTCAGAGTCTGACTACTGCTGCTGTCACCACTACAGGTATATCTCGTGCCTTTCACGCTTGTGCCAGTTCATCTCCCCTTTGGATGTTGGACTCGGGTGCGAATGGTCACATGACAGGTGAGGCCCATCACTTCACCACTTTTGACGAGCCGTTACATACACAGGTTCAGTTAGCAGATGAAACACATGCCCCTATTGTTAGTAGGGGTACAGTCCGTCTCCCAGATGGCCTTACATTACATTCGGTTTTTCATGCGCCAAAGTTGGCCATGAATCTATTATCTGTACATCAGTTAGCCAGAGATTTTCACTGTGCGGTTGTATTCTTATCTGATTCGTGTTATTTGCAGGACCTGAGTACCAAGAGGATTATTATCAAGGGACATGAGAAAGATGGACTGTATTATCTTGGCAATCCATCTCCAGTTTCACCAATTCCTTCACCTGCACCTACTTTGTCTTTTTCTGTTCCTAGCTTGCATGCTAGTATTTTACCTAGTAGTTGTCGTTATGATTTTTCGTCACAAACTGTTCAATTGTGGCATGACCGTTTTGGACATACAAATTTTAAATATTTATGTATGTTGTTTCCTGCTTTGAGTAATGCTTGTGTTGGTGGTAAACTTGATTGCGTTATCTGTTCCCTATCAAAACATGTTAGGGCCAATTATATTCCTCGCATGCATCAGTCACCCAAGCCATTTGACCTAATACACTCTGATATTTGGGGACCCTCTCCCGTTACTGCTCTGTCAGGTGCTAGATATTATGTGACATTTATAGATGATCATACCCGTTGTACTTGGGTCTACCTTTTGCATAGGAAGTCTGATGTGATCCCTATAATCACTCAATTTTTACAGATGATTAAGACACAATTCGATGTCATTGTTCGTGCTCTTCGTTCGGATAATGCCAAAGAATATGTGTCTGATGCTTTAGTGTCTCACCTTTCTTCTCAGGGTATCCTTCAGCAACTCACTTGTCCATATACTCCTGAGCAAAATGGTGTTGCTCAGAGGAAAAATAGGAGTTTGATAGGGATGGTACGTTGTCTGCTTAGAGGCATGAGGGTACCAAAATCTTATTGGCATTTTGCTGTTTTGACTTCTACCTTTCTGTGCAATCGTACGTCGAGTCGTGTTCTTCAGCATAAGGCTCCCTTACAGGTCTTATTTCCTGAGCGGACACTTTTTTCGGTCCCCCCTCGTGTTTTTGGATGCACATGTTTTGTTCCGGATCGGTCTCCTACTCGTCATAAACTTGATGATAAAGCGATTCGTTGTATCTTTGTGGGCTATTGTCATCAATCTAAGGGGTATCGGTGTTATGATCCTATTAGACGTCGTATGTATCACAGTCTAGATGTTACCTTTCTTGAGCATATTCCTTATTTTCCTTTCAGTCCTTTGTCTGCCCCTCCAGTTGATGATACTCCCTTTGATTTTTCATTACCACAAGAGTCAGAGTCATTGATCACTATCCCTACAGGGTCATCCGTTTTTCCTCCAAAGGAGTCACTCATCCCTGTCAGTACAGAGTTACCAGTCTCTCTTCCTTTGCAGGTGTATGCTCGTTGTCCTCGCTCTCATCACCCTGCTGATATCCCCTCTACCTCAGGCGATGCAGGTAATACTTCTCAGTTTGTTGAGCATATTGATGCACCTGTTGTTAGTACTGATGAGATTACAGGTGCTGATCCAGTTACTTTACCTGATAAGATATTATCAGTAGAGGATGGTGATTTAGGGCGTCGTTATCCAAGGCGTGATCGCCGTCCAGTTGATCGATATGGTTAGACCGCCAAGATTTTATATCCGATCTCTGCTTATGTTTTTTATGGTAATCTGTCTCCCACATTTCGAGCTTATACTATGGCCTTATCAGATACGCTGGTTCCTCGCTCTATTTCGGAAGCTATGCGGGAGCCCCAGTGGGTTCTTGCCATGCAGACAGAGACGGACGCTCTTCAGCGTAATCATACATGGGATCTTGTCTCCTTACCTTCAGGGGTGAAGCCTGTTGGCTGTCGCTGGGTTTACACCCTGAAGTTTCTGGCAGATGGTACTATTGATCGTTACAAGGCTAGACTTGTGGCTAAGGGCTTTACTCAGGTACCAGGTCGTGATTTTGGTGCTACATTTGCCCCCGTGGCAAAATTGACTACTGTTCGGTTGATTATTTCTCTGGCTGTGGAGTACTCTTGGCCTCTTCATCAATTAGATGTGAAGAATGCGTTTCTTCACGGTGATCTGGACGAGATTATTTATATGGATGCACCACCGGGCTTTCGTGGTGAGGGGGAGTATGCTGGAAAGGTATGTCGACTGCGTAAGTCTCTTTATGGACTGAAACAGTCGCCACGAGCCTGGTTCTCTCGCTTCAGTGATGTAGTCATACGATTGGGGTTCACCAGGTGTCATTCTGATCATACCTGCTTTATTCGACGGAATACTTCTGGACAATGTGTCATCCTTCTGGTATATGTTGATGATATTATTATTACTGGTGATGATGTTTCTAGGACTGCACAGGTCAAGATAGACCTTGGGAAGGCCTTCGATGTGAAGGATCTTGGATTTCTGCGATACTTTCTTGGGATTGAGGTTGCCCGTAGAAGCAGAGGTATTGTTCTTTCTCAGAGAAAGTATGTTTTGGATCTTCTTTTAGACACTGGGATGTTGGGGTGCAAACCGGCATCATCACCCATGATTCCAAACCTGAAGCTTACTGCTGAAGGTGAGGAGTTGAAAGATCCGACAGTTTATCAAAGATTGGTAGATAGACTTATCTACTTAGCCAATACTAGGCCGGACATTTCATTCGCAATCAGCCGAGTTAGTCAATTCATGCATAGGCCATGTCAGCCTCATCTTGATGCAGTTTATCATATTCTTCGGTACCTCAAGTCTTGTCCTGGACTTGGGTTATTTTATGCATCAGGATCTCAGACCGGTTCTCTAGCCTGTTATTCAGATTCAGATTATGAGGGAGCATGTGATGGTCGATCTACTACGGGTTTCTGTGCTTTTTGAGGGACTCATCTTATCTCTTGAAAGAGCAAGAAGCAGGTAGTTGTCTCCCGCTCGTCCGTAGAGGCAGAGTATCGGGCATTGGCACTTGGCATATGTGAGATTATCTGGCTACGATCGATTCTTGACGAGTTGGGTTTTTCAGTGACCTCTCCATCCACATTATATTGTGATAATCAATCTGCTATTCAGCTCGCTTCTGACTCTGTACTATATGAGAGAACGAAGTATATAGAGATCGATGTTCACTTTCTTCGGGAGAAGGTCAGCAGTGGTCTTGTTATTCCATCGTTTGTGGGGACCAGTGATCAAGTTGCGGATGTTTTTACCAAACCTGTCACTCTGTCTATTCTTCGGGACTCCATTGTCAAGCTTGACTTAGTTGACATTTTTGCGCCTAGCTTGAGGGGGAGTGTTGGAGTATAGATAGTCTAGTTTATTAGGATTTCTTTTCCCTTTTTTACCCTTACTATGATTTTTATATTTTGCCTAAACTACAAGGATGTTTAAGTCACTCTGTATTATTTTTGGATATATATACGGGACTCTACTCTTAATTTGAGAATCCCTTTTCACTTACGTTTATTCCAAGTATTAGAGAATAGAAAAACAAGTAAATTAGGTCAATTAGATTGATTTCATATCTCAACAGAAAACCAAAATGTCTTGGTGTTTTTTTGATTACCCGCCGCTACTGTAAGGATCTCTAAAGCCGTTTGAGAAGATGATGTTGCTGGCAAACCTACAGAGAACCAATTTTATATGCTACCAAGTTGCATTAAGAAAAATGGAGTTTATAAGTTCTTAGTAATTAAAGTTAAAGTAATATCAATTTCTGAATGAGAAATAAATTCATAAATTCTTTGGAAATACTTGGTGAGGATAAATCATATACATAGCCTCCATAATAGGTTGTGACCCAATGAGGCCGAGGTGGGATGCCATAAATGTGCTTGTATTAGAGTATGTGTGACTTATATTTGCTGTGTGCATAATGGCAAGGAGGCAGATGCCGGAGCGGGATTTGTATAAAGGGGACGCTGATTAGTTGGGGGTGTGGGGGCAACGCCCCCCCGGTACGGTACAAGAGTATTTTTATAAATACGTCCGTATTAGGGTTATATAAATACTTAAGATGTAACCCTACTTTTAATAATGAAAAAGAACGGCCGCTCGCTCTCGTGGATGTAGGCACATTACCGAACCACGTAAATCTCTGTGTGTTATTTTCTCTTGCTTATTTAATTGTTTGATTTCTTACTATTCACCATAATTGCTGCACGATCACAACAGCTTGCAATCCTTAGAAAACTGCTTTAATTCGAAAGGTGCCGATTGGAACATTGTGTCATTGCTACCACGGCCAATGGGGTGCACTAATTCACTACAAACCTAAACAAACTACCAGTCACTTTGGAATGAATATAATCAAATACTTTAGAAAACAATCAACAGTTGAAGTGTATAGGTAAAATCCTTAATTTTATCGAAGGGAGAAGAATGATGAATTTCAATGTTTTGGATGCAACTTCAACAATCATAGATGCTGAAGTTTAATGTACCATTTGGTAAACTTTTTTAAATTTTTTTTTTTTTTTATAAGTAAAAATCAATTTCGTCGTAAAAGTAAAAGCATGCTAACGTGAGCGATTTGTAACCAAAAAATAAGTGAGTGAAGACTTACAAAAACGTTGTTATCAAACAGTAACTAAGAAAGTGAAATGATGATATCAATTTGTAACTTACTTGCCATCCCCAATCAGACAAACGAGGATCATAATCTTGACTCATATGATAGCATGAACGATTCCCTCTTATAGCAATCATTCCAGCAAATATCCGATCAAGAATATCAGTTCCTGAAGATGCTCCATCTATACCTTTACAGACCTGAGTCACCTGATACTGTGGCGGAGCATCAAATTGAGCTGCCGAAATGTAAATGCTGATTAGGTGGTCCTTGAGGTCGGAAGATTTATTTAGAAGCCTGGACCAAAAATAGAGCTGCTAAGTTGAATAAGTTCAAGAAGAGGACAATGAAGTCTATTTTTTCTTCTTTTTTTTTTTTTTCCACGAAGTAAATGATTTCATTAACCGAGAAGAAATACAAATATACAAAATATACCCCATTAATTACAAAGTAACTTGAAAGAGAAATGTATTACTCACGCGTAAGTCTTGAATCTTTTTGCTGAGGATTGAAAGACCATTGGGCTTTGAAGCGATTTTATCAATTTCAGACCAGGACTTTTTTATAGTGTTGAAACAATTCTCACTAACTTCCTGCAACACCATCCCAATTCAGGAACACGTGAGGTTTTAGGGTTCAATTGACAAAGTTTTTTAAAAACAAATTGAGTTCTAGTTGCTTTGAAATCCTTGTTGACAACTGAATAATAGCCATTTTGTGGACTGAGGTCATCGAAGTATAGAATTGGAGCTGATGAGGCTAATGCACCAAGAGCAATGCGTGGATACTTTAGTCGAAACTATGAAGCAAGCACCGTAAAGTTCCCATAAAAAAATAACCAATAAATAAGATCAGGTTTGCAATAACCAATGTGAAAATTTAAGCCTGTGGGTGATGATTTGAAGGCACTTACTGCCCCCATAAGATGCTCCAATGACAATAATGGGAGAATTATGCGCAGATAATGTTTTCCTGAGAAATGTTAGCACTTCTGCATAATCTGCTATAGCTTGAGCAGAGTTGAAATAACTGCAAATACTTTGATTTTTCAATCAAGCTTACCATTTGAATATCTAATAGAATAAATGGTTGCACATTGAAAGATATATTGTATTGAATATAAAAAATATTTTATAAATATCTACATTCTATTGGACATTTAAATGATAAGTTTGATTTTGAATTTTAGAGTATATCAGACTCACAAAATAAAGGTTAATATGAAATTATAATTTTTTATTAAGATAAAATAATATTTTTTAACGGTTATATTAATAGATATTAACGAAAAAGAGTTACGTGTTACACGTGCACAAACGTCATGAGATGTAGGAGTAATATTTTAAATATGAAGGGGTCCAAATGATTAAGTGACAAGCCTGAGGGGATTTAAGTATAATTTATCAATTTAGTTTTAGGTGCATATTGATATAAATTTCTATCTTTAAGAGTGCAAATTAAAATTTTTGATTTTTGGGGGTGCACATTGATACAAATTTTAATCTTTGAGGGTGTAACTTGAGATTTGTGATATTTGAAAGTTTAAATTGAGATTCGAACTATCTTTCGGAGTGTAACTTGCAATTAATCCTACAATATATATACTTTTGCTGACACACACACATATATATTAAGGTAGCGTTTAACCTAGAGTTTTTTTTTTTTTTTTTGTTTTTGTTTTTGTTTTCATTTTATAGTTTAAAAAATGTGTTTGATAACCCTTGGACCCAGGAAAACTTCAAAGACCTATAGCATTGCTTTTAATCTATGAAGTATGAAAACGAATACGGGATATGTGTATGATACAATATGGATATGGAGATACGACAAAGTCTAAAAAAATAGGATACGAGTACGGCTAAAATACGGCTATAATAAAATATATTTAATATTTTTATTATTTTCAACCAACTTAATACTTATATATTTTTGTAGTTCTTTAATATACAATAAGGAAAATTAGTAATTTTTTTTAGTTTCAAGAAAATATATATCGTATCGCTGTAGTATATTCACAAAGTAAAGTGACTAATTAAAAGAATCAAAACTAATATTTACCTAGTATTTAGAAGTAATTTTTGCTAAGATAATAATGTAATAACTTTATTTTATGCTCTTTTGACATGTAATTGTAGATAATACTTAAGAAACACTCATGTGCCTTTGGAGTAATATGAATTTTTTGTTAATGTATTGTATGATATGTAAATTCGAAAAGAGATGTTAAAAGTTCAACTCAAAAATAATATATGTATCCGTGAAGTATCATAATATTTAATTATTATCAGATACGTAGAAGGTGTATTCGATACGTATTCTCGAGTATCTAACGAGTATCGTATCTGATACGATATCAGATACAGGTACGTCAACCTCAACGAAGTATTCGTGCTTCATAGCTCTTAATATAGAGAAAGTGGGTGAGGATATAGAGTGTTTTTCACATTCATGCAATAAATTTTAGGATAAATATGGCTAAAATCTCTCGAGGTTTATTGTAAGCCACGATAAGTGGTAAGATATGAGTTAAGAAATTGTAGGCTGCATCTGATTAATATTACATTGTTTACATCCGACATTATATTTTCATATTACATTCATTAATTTGTATACATATTGTTATGTATTTACTGAAATTTATTTTTTAAGTAATCCATACATCATCATATTGTAAATTGGATATTTTTTTAGTCAATATGAGTGGTTTGATTTTTTTTTGCGCATTCAAACTTGATATATAACCTAATTGGTTTAGGGGATTTGAGGAATAGGTGGTGATTTCTTGCCCAAATTATGGGAGGTTAAGAAGTCAACATTTACCTCTATAAAAACTTGTAGAGCTTTAAAGCGGGGGGGGCATTCTCCCTCAAAAACCCAACAAGCTCTAGATCATCATCCAATGGCTCTTCTTCACCTAGGAAAGCAAAGATTGGTGCAGTTGCATTTGCACCACCCCAATATTTCCAATTGATCGCATTTCTTTGTTTGAAAGTGGCATAGTTTTCTGGTTTGTAGCTGAAGTGATCAAGTGTTTGAGTGTAGAAAAAAGTTTCGGAGTCTTTTGGAGTGTGTGTTGATCTGATACCAGTGTTACGAAGGAACGTTTTTCAGTGTGGACTGAGCTTTGGAATATTATATGCTATAACAGAAAAAGAGACTGAGAAGATCAAGAGGAACAAAAGAAACAATCGGTGTAAAGTTGTATGAGGTTTCATTGCAAAGTGCTTAATGTAACTTGCTTCTCAAGTTGTACTTTTAGGGCTCCACATGCCTATTATTTATAACTCTTTGCTTTGTCCTCCGATAAGAAAAAATAATGTGATTAATCTACTCCAAATGTTTAAACTATTAGAAATGGTATAACTAAAATATTTATACTTCAACGATACCATGATAACTACACAATATATCCATGGCTAGAAAAAAAATTAGAATGAGTCCAACACACCACGTGAAGTGTCATGTAATGTGCACACCTAACAAAATATTATCACGTGTAAGACACATAAGTTGGTTTTTTTTTTTTATTTTAAAAAAAAAATTCTGACAAAAGTGATGTATGACAATTTTATTTGAGATTATACAACTTCTGATTGTCTATGTACACACCACAAATATTTCTCGAGGGTTATTGCTTCATCATCACCACCGAGCGCAAACAACAAACTAATTGGTCAGTAAACTTCATGCATGGCCTCGACAACTCTCTATTTGAATATTTTTTTATTCCCTCTCCCTCTCCCTCTCTTATAGTTAAAACAAACAGAACTAGCCAACTCTCCTGCCGAATATGTGTTTGTACTCAGAATGCTCAGCGTTTGGAACTTTCTGCTTCAACCAGTAAACTTTTGCTAAATTATACATGGGGCATTAGAGAAATCCCTACATATACTGTGCTTTAAAGCAAGTTGAACGCAAGAAGATTTTAGGGTTAATCTCATTTTGTACCTCGAAATATTGTTCGAATTTTAATTTGCACACTCAAAAATTAAAAATCTCAATTTACACCTTCAAAGATAGAAATTTGTATCAATGTGTACCCCCAAAGATCAAAAATCTCAATTTGTATCCTCAAAGATACAAATTTATATCAATGTGCACCCCAAAGATAAAAAATCTCAATTTGCACCCTCAAAGATAGAAATTTGTATCAATGTGCACCTAAAACTAAATTGATAAATTATATCTAGATCCCCTCATACTTGTCACTTAATCATTTAGACCTCTTCACATTTAGAATATTACTCCTATATCTTATGACATTTGTGCAAGTATAACACGTAACCTATTTTCATTGATATCTATTAATATAACCGTTAAAAAATATAATTTTATCCTAATAAAAAATTATAATTTCATATTATCCTTTATTTTATGGGTTTAATATATTCTAAAGTTTAAAATCTAGTTTACCATTTGAATGTCTAATAAAATGTAAATATTTATATAATATTTTTTATATTACCTTTTATATAAATATCTACATTTTATTAGACATTTAAATGGTAAGTTTGATTTTCAACTGTAGAGTATATCGAATTCACAAAATAAAAGGTAATATGAAATTATAATTTTTTATTAGGATAAAATTATATTTTTTAATTATTATATTAACAGATATCAATGAAAAGTGGTTATGTGTTACACAAGCACAAACATCATGAGATGTAAGGGGAATATTCTAAATGTGAAGGAGTTCAAATGATTAAGTGACAAACATGAAGGGATCTAGGTATAATTTATCAAATTACATTTTATGTGCACATTGATACAAATTTCTATCTTTGAGGGTGTAAATTGAGATTTTTTATCTTTGGGAATGCACATTGATACAAATTTCTATCTTTGAGGGTGTAAATTAAAATTTTTGATCTTTGAAAGTGTAAATTGAGATTTGAACAATCTTTTAAGGTACAAAATGAGATTAACCCAAGATTTTACTATAAAGAAAGCCTATACCAATGATTGTCCTGGTCTAACTGCCCTTTTCATGCCTATACACTAAAGACAAGGTAGGATTCAAACTTCAAATTCAAACTTTATGTGTAGTGTATACTTGAGTGGCAAGGGCGTGTCTAGCTTACTGTCTTTGATCTGTTTAGATGAGTTTCCCATTTAAGAGAGAAAATATTGGTTACTCATTAGATTTCGAACATGAACGAAGCCATGTTGGGGCTCTGGGCCATTATGCAGAACGTACAGTAGAAGACTGCACGACAAATAAGAATCATTGAAAAATGTTATGATCGAAATGTCAATCATGATTGATTTTAGCGAGTGTCAAAATTTTTTAAAAAATATCCATTGCAAAATGTAGTCGACCATTTGAGCAAGTTTGAAACTTTTGCCTTCACCCTAGTCATCTTTAAGCCAACAAATAACTTTTAGAGCCTTTTTAAGCACCCTCTTTTGTATCCTATTGTCAAAGATTGTTTCATAATATTGTAGATTTTGTTTGGTTATTCTACTACTTATGGATCATTATGATTTTCTATTTATATTGAGATGTAAACATTAATC